GGTGTCCCGCACTGAGACATAGTGGGGTGTCCCGCACTGGGACGGAGGTATTGGGGTGGCCTGCACCCGTTTTCTGCAGCAGAGGCCGATGGTGAGCCACATGCTCAGCTCCAGGACTCCAAAGGACCACGTGTTGTTCCCCAAACAAGAGACAGCACATACCCGCTCATGTCCTGACCACCCACCAATCTCAACAGAGAAAATGCTCCTTACCGTCCCTCGTGGAAGTGGCGTCCGGGGCTCCAGCTGGAAGAAAGCAGCAGGGTCATCCAGGACCTGCGGCTGGGCCTGAGCCAGCGTGCCCTCCCTCCCTAGCACCCGCCTCTCCCTCCCCAGCACCTGGCCCTTCCAGACCACAGAAGGGTGCCTTCCCTGCCCAGCACCCGGCCCTCCAAGCCTGCACCAGGGTACCCTCCCTGCCCAGCACCCGGCACCCCCAGCACATGTTTGCTAGGATGCCATCCTCTGCCTCCTGTCAGGACCAAAGCCCCTGAAAGTTAGGGTGGGGCTGCATCTCAGTGCCTACGAGGACACCTGGCACACAGTGGGCACCAGCTCGGCGTCTGCTGTGAGACTGGCAGCCTCTCCCTGGCCAGACAAGGGACTGGAATGGGATTCACAGTCTGGGGGGCTGCAGGGGCCGACCCAGGCCCGGGTGGGGGCCGGTGGCGAGATGGAGGGAGTGCTAGAAGGAAGGTGGGAGGGCTGCAGAAGTCAGGGCTGTGTCAATGCACAGTCTGCCGTGGAGGCTCCCACGGACGTCGCAGGCCGTTTCGGCGGCACGGGGCTTCTACCAGTCCTCACCTTTGCCACATGAAGGCAAACAAATCTTCCCCGGGGCCCTGCAAGCATGGCCACGCCCATCCGGATCAGAGCGGCCGCTCCTGCCATCCAGGCCATTTTGGGAAAGCAGGAAAGGGGCTGGCCTGGCCTGGAAGGGGCCATCCCAGGTGTGTCTGAGGAGCCAGGCTGGTGAGCAAGGCCCATGCTAAACAGCGAGGACACATTTCATCCCACCTCAGTGTTTATAATGTGAGGTGCAGAGCCACAGGACAGCCTGCATCCCAGCAGGGGCCGTGCTGTGGACATCACGTGGCCCCGGAGGGCCTGAGCCCCACTCCCGCCTTGTCCCGTCAGACACCTTGTCTTGTTAACGGGCGTGTGAGGTGATGTTTATCTTTGTAAATGTTTACTGTGACGTGACCCGCCAGGAGCCCCTCACACACCGTGTGTTCATCCGCTTCCAGAAGTTTGAGCTCACTTTTCTCTAATCCCAAAACTGCTCACAAAAGTATTTTACTAAACTTTGCCGAAAGTTTGAAAGTTTAAGAAGCGCTGGCTGCCACCTGCCTCCATCCCTGTCTGGGGCCTGGGCCTCTCGCCTTAAGCCCCAGGAGGCAGCTTGGGCCCTTCCACAGGTCAGGAACCTGCCATGCACAGCACTCACCTGGACCTTCCGGAACCCGTTCCGCACACGGACGTAGAGCTCCTCCTGCTCGGCCACGAAGATGAGCCAGCCCTCGGGAACCTCGTGCACCTGGCCCAGCATGGCCTGGCGCGTGGCCCAGAGCCTCACCTGCTGGGACCCAAACGCAGGGGCGTGGGGCTCGAGGTGGGAGGGCACGGGGCAGGGGCAGAAGGAAGGGATGCCCGTTTCAGGGCGCTGGGCAGGGGCAGAAGGAAGGGATGCCCGTTTCAGGGCGCTGGGCAGGGGCAGAAG